AGCATAGGATTTCTTGTGCTCGTAGCGGGGTTTCTTCCCTTTTCGCTGATCGTCAGCGTCCTCTCTGCGATCAGCTCTTCTACTTTCCCCGCGACCAGAAATATTGCTTGATACGCCGGGGTTACGACGGCATAGTACCGCCAACGAATTTTCTATTCGGAGTTATTTCTCCGCAAGGTTGTAGAATCCTATGAGGGAGACATCGTCCTCAGCTTGTAATTCCTTCCACAGGTCGGTTTGCAGGTGAACCCCGGCTATAATGAGAGTCCAAACAGACTCTTCGGGAGTATGAGCCATTTTGTTGAGTTCCTTGGGGAAACGGTCAATGTAAGACTGGAGGGATTCATCCCTTTCTTGCCTTATGTTGCTAAGGTAGCTCAAAGGCATTGAAAACTTCCGATTCGCTTGAAAATGCCTGAGGAACGTCGTGCTCATCTGAGGCCACGAACTGACCGACCCTGCTGGGAGCGACCTGAACCATCGTTTGGCATGGGAGGTCAATGTTACTGCTAGACAACAGCATTTTGCCAAGTCTGAGACCTGGTGAAGCTCCATCAGGTCGTTAAATTCATACAGATGATCCTGCGGATCGGAGTTTCCATCAAACGCCCGCATGTCGGGCATCCTGAATCCTGGCGGGAGTGCAGCGGCTAACACCTCGAGAGAGAAGGGGGACGCAGGTGCGACCTGTCCCTGCTCATTTTGCTGGGCCTTTAGCCTGTCTAGAGCTTGCTGTAGCTCTTCAATTTGCGACAGCGGAGCCACTTGGTGGTTGCTTTCACCCACGCGAGTTCGATTCTTGCGGTTACGATTGAGGAATGTCCAGAGGTAGGGCTCTTCTTCGCCTCGGTTGGCGGTTCCAGCCACTCACGACACATGCTGACTAGAGGAGTGCGATGGCGATGAGAGGTGCGGGGTATTCTCACAACCTTTGCGGTGGTAAGAACCCCACCGCGAAGTGTGGGACCCTCTCGCACGGTGGCGACCAAGATTAGCTTGCTGACGGTGATAAGAATCAACCCGTCCAGCACTTTTATGGGTATGTACCTGCGATGTGGTGTGGGACAGCTCAGGCTGCGTCTTTTCACCGAGTCTCAGCGAGACTGGTATTCTGCTTGGGACGCGGTTGGTGTTTGCTGGCCCTTTGGAGCCCGTGGGCTTGCTTTTTGCCACTTGCTTACCCTTTCGCCTTCGCGCTGCAACGCTCGTGGCATGGGCTATTTCCCTTTGCCGCGCTTTTGAGTGACCTGCAGGCGTTTTTGGCGGTTGTACCGCCACAGCTGACTTGGATGGCGTGCCTTGGTCCAAATGGTCTAACCTTTGGTTGACTGTCTGGAGAGTATTATCAAACCTCTCCAGGTAGCTTCTTATAGCGGGGTCAAGCTGTGAGCTTGACGGGATATCTCCTACAGTATTCTGTGGGGCTAAAGGTTTTTTGGAAGAGGTATCCCCCTGAACTTGGGGGGACCCCTGAGTGTCCTGGTTGGTTTGCTCATGTTCTGGTTGGCAAGCCATTCGTTGCTGTAGAACCGGTAAGTTGGAGACTCTCCTGATGAAGGATGAACACTAAATCAAGCCCCTCCTTCTAATGCCAAACTGTTGATGCGGGATTTTGCACCAACGAAACGTATGTGCGAAATGTTGCAAGGGACCCTGAAATCACACGTGAAAGTAATGGATGAGAGATAGTAAATGCAATGGAGACAGTTTTTAAAGTGGTTCGGATGCTAAGGTAGCAAGTCCTACGTCCACTGATGCTTATATTGATGATAGGGGTTCGGTCGCTATTAGCTGACTGACTTTATAATGATATTACAAGGTATCAACTGCTGAGAAAAGAGAGGGTAATTAATTAAGTGAAAAAATGTGCGAATCCCCTTAATGAGAGATGAATTCCTAATTTATAGTCAGATGCTTTAAGGCAATCATCACTAAATCTGCGAGTTAGTGGGATTATCCGTGCAAATCCTTCTTTATGTCACATTGCCCACCTTCCAGAGTGATTTGCGCGATTTAGAGCAGGGATTGGACACGTGGGAGCACCACAGCCTCCTGACTAGCCTGACGCGCGCCCACTATCCTGATAGACGCAGACGATGGCTGTTCCAATTATCTAACTTTTGCAGGCTAAAAGGTCTTGACGTCAGCCCTTATATCTTTAGGCATAACATATTATAAATATTAGTAATTACTAATTTACTACATAAACAATAACAATTTAGCATAATACTTAATTAAATTATTATAAATTTAATTAATTACAATATTACATTATAAATTTATAGTACGATTACGTAATTAATTGTAACATTACATTATAATTAATATTTCATTATAATATTATTAGTTGATTACATAATTAATTATAACATTACATAATTAGATAATTATTTAATTGATTATGACATTATATTATAAACATTAATTATAACATTACATTATAAACAAATTATTACTTAATTAAATGATTAGAAATTTAATTAATTAAATATTACATTGTAGTTAAATAATTACTTAATTAAATTATAACATTATTACATTATATTATATTATAATCACTTAATTAATTATAGTATTACATAGTTAAATAATTACTTAATTAGTTATAAATTTATAACATTACATTATAAACATTAGTAATTTACTACATTATTATTTATTATATTACTTAATTAAATGATTAAAAATTTAATTAATTATAATATTACATTAAAGATCTATAATCTGATTACTTAATTCACTATAACATTATATGATAGTATGATTACATAATTAATTATAACATTACATAATTAAATAATTACTTAATTGATTATGAGTTATGATATTATATTATAAACATTAGTAATTACTAATTTACTACATAAACATTAGTACAATACTTAATTAAATGATTAGAAATTTAATTAATTATAACATTACCTTATAAACATTACATTATAAACATTAATTAAGCATTACATTATAGTTAAATAATTACTCAATTAAATTATAACATTATTATATTACATTATATTATGATCACTTACTTAATTGTAACATTACATAGTTAAATGATTACATAATTAGTTATGAATTTATAACATTATATTATAAACATAAGTAATTTACTATATTATTACATTACTTAATTAAACGATTAAAAATTTAATTAATTATAACATTACCTTATATATTTATAATATGATTACTTAATTAATTATAATATTCCATTATAAACGTTAGTATATTAATTAAATAATTAGAAATTTAATTAATTATAATATTAAATTATAGATTTATAGTATGATTATTTAATTCATTATAACATATTAACATTATATTATACTATTATAATATGATCATATAATTAATATAATATTACATAATTAAAATATTAAATGATTACTTAATTGATTATGACATTATATTATAAACATTAGTAATTTATTAATTTACACAATACTTAATTAAATGATTAGAATTTTACTAATTATAATATTACATTATAAATTTATAGTATGATTACTTAATTAATTATAACATTCTATTATAAACAATATTACAATATTTAACTAAATGATTAACAATTTAATTAATTATAATATTATATTATAATTAAATAGTATATTACTTAATTAATTATAACATTATAATTTACATTGTAGTATGATCACTTAATTAATTATAACATTACATAAATAAATGATTACTTAATTAATTATGACATTATATTATAAACATTAAACATAAATAATTAATTAAATTATTAGAAATTTAATTGATTATAACATTACATTATTGTTAAATAACTATTTAAATAATTATAAGTATTTATAACATTACATTATAGTATGATCACTTAATTAATTATAACATTACATTATAATTTAATAATTATAATGTAATATTTGAATGATTTTGGTGAATTTATTTGATGTGAATTGTGATGAATAATTGTTTGTATTTTGGTTTTGATTGATGAATTTTATGTGAATTTTGATGAATTGATTGAATTCAAGTGTTGCCCAGAGATTATAGGTTATGAGTACATTGGACACAAATGAATGAATAATCAAAATTTGTTAGGGGTGTATTTGTAAACTTTTAAAGTATTTTTTGTCATTTTTTAAACTAATAGGGTGGTAATTGATTTTTCACAGGGTACCCAGGAAAAGAACCGGAACCTGCATTTTAGGTTCCGGTTTCTTGAATTGAAGAACCTGCACTGTGTGGTTCCAATTTCGGTTCCTTTTTTTGGGAACTTGCACTATGCGGTTCCGGTTTCGATTCCCCTGGAAAGTATAGGGTACCCGGAACCGCTCACCCCTAGGACTCAGTACAACACTGCAATATAATATGGTAGTAACTATTGACTATAATTTCAATGAATTTAAAAAACATATAAAAAGCACATTTATAATTATATTTTATAAAAAAATCAGAAGTAGAGAACAAAACACTTCATTATCTAAAAGCCAACTTTGAATGGTTTTGTATGATTTTGTAATATTAAATTTAAAGGTCAGTTTGTACGTATCTCAACTAATTTCTCAAGACCTTGAAATTAACGATCGAGTAAGCTTCCAGTGATCACCCCTATTAGCAACTGAGGTGAATCAAACTGAAACCCTTCTTGAGTAATACACTTAAGAGTCTTAGTTAATCACTCGACCACCCTAGTGGTGGTTTGTTCTAAATATTCAATATGGGCATGTTTTTGTTATGTCCTTTTTCTTGCAACTCTTTACATGCATCCTCAAATCATGAACATAAAAAAATTGATTTATTTATATAATTTTTGTTGAAATTATAATTATATATTTTTTAAACATTACCCACATCCACAAGTTATAAATATCCAGTTTATAGAACCAAAACGCTGCGTTTTAGTGTAGAAAGACGATAGAAACAAAATATGCTTTGGCATTCACCATGGGCAAAGAAACGGTGCCGTTTGGAATTATAATATATAAGAGCTTTTCTGATTTGTTTTTGGCTTGAGCATTGAGTGATAGTTACTCCATCTCCATGTCAACATGTCGCGCCATATTTCAGAATTTCAAAATTTTCTCCAAACCCGTTATGGGTTTAATGAATTACACCAATCAAAGCGTTCCATCTTACAAATTTTTACTCCAAAATCACATAAGAAACCGAAGATTAGACCTTGCTCGCAAGCTTTTTGATGAAATCCCATCACCTAGTACTCATTTATGCACTATAATGATCACTGGTTACACTCAAAACAATAGACTTGATGATGCATTGACCCTTTTTGACAAAATGAGCTTTAGAGACATGATTTCTTGGAACACAATGGTTAAAGGGTGTTTAGATTGTGGCGATTTAGCTATGGCTACAAAGATGTTCGATAAAATGCGTGATAGAAGTGTTGTTTCTTGGACAACCATGATTAATGGGTATTTACAGTTTGGACATGTTGATAAGGCTGAGAGGTTGTTTTATGAGATGCCTGTAAGAGATGTGGCGGCATCGAATTCGATGATTCATGGGTATTGTTGTAATGGTAGAGTTGAGGATGCTTTAAGGTTGTTTGAGGAGACTCCTTGTAGGAATGTGATTTCGTGGACTTCGATGATTAGTGGGCTTGATAGCAATGGGAGGCATGATGAGTCTTTGTTTCTTTTTAAGAAGATGGTGGGTTCTGGTATTGTTCCCACTTCAAACACATTTGCTTGTATTTTGACGGCTTGTGCTAATGTGTTGGATGTATGTTTAGGGGTGCAGGTTCATGGTAATGTTATTAAGATTGGGTTTTGTTTTGATGAGTTTATATGTGCTTCGCTTATTATGTTGTATGCAAACTGCAAGCAAATAGAGGATGCTTACAACATTTTTAATGAAAAATTGCATATGAATGTGGTGGTATGGACAGCTCTTTTGACGGGGAGTGGTTTCAATGGTAAGCATGAGAAAGCATTGACGATTTTTTCTGACATGATTATCATGGGCATACTTCCAAATCAAACTACATTCACTAGTGTCTTGAATTCATGTTGGAAACTAGAGGCTATTGACCGGGGTAAAGAGATCCACATGTTGGCAATAAAACTAGGTTTGGAAAATGATGTCTTTGTGGGTAATTCTCTTACCGTCATGTATTGTGAATGTGGAAATGTAAATGATGCTGTGGCTGTATTTACGAAAATTGGTGAGAAGAATATTGTCTCTTGGAACTCAATGATTGTTGGAAGTGCAAAACATGGATGTGGTCAGTTGACTTTAACACTCTTTAAACAAATGATATGTGCAGGGGTAGATGCAGATGAAATTACATTCACTGGCTTGCTTTCTGCTTGCAGCCGTTCTGGGATGTTACAGAAGGGGAAATCCTTTTTTGAGTATTTTAGTAGATATAAATCCAACAAGATGAGGCCTCAGCACTATGTTTGTATGGTAGATATCTTGGGCAGATTTGGGAAATTAGAAGAAGCAGAGGAGTTAATTAGGAATATGCCTATGGAAGCAAATTCTTCGATATGGCTAGCTTTACTTAGTGCTTGTAGGATGCATTCCAATTTGGAAATGGCTGAAAGAGCTGCAAAATGCATTCTTGATCTAGAGCCTCACTGCAGTGCCGCTTATGTTTTATTGTGCAATATTTATGCTTCAGCTGGTAAATGGAGTGACGTCTCACAATTCAGGCTGAAGATGAAACAAGAGGGTATCGTAAAACAACCAGGATGCAGTTGGGTAAACTTAAAGGGAGTGAGGCATGAGTTTCTTTCTGGTGATAGGTCACACCCTCTCAGTGAAAAAATATATCAAAAGCTGGACTGGTTAGGAGGAAAGTTAAAGGAATTTGGCTATACTCCGGACAAAAGGTTTTCTCTGCATGATGTTGAGAATGAACAGAAGGAAGAGATGTTGTCTTACCATAGTGAAAGGCTTGCTATTGCATTTGCATTGGTAAGTACTGTGGAGTGTAGTACTATAACAGTGATGAAAAATCTTCGTGTATGTGGGGATTGCCATTCTGCGATTAAGCTTATAGCAAAGATCGCAGGACGTGAGATTGTCCTAAGAGATTCTAGCCGTTTTCACCACTTTAGAAATGGCACTTGTTCTTGTGGGGATTATTGGTAGCACTAACAGGAGCAGACAATGTTTGCTGGCATATATAGATCAAAGTGGAGAAAAAACTGCTAAAGTTGAAAAAAGAGATTTCTGGTTCTATATATATAGATCAAAGAGAACCATTTTTTCACATTCCTAGTTTGGACTAGTAAAAAAATTAGGGAGGGAGACTAAATTCTCGAAGGTAAATTCAGTGTCAACTAAAGGGCTTTCTCATTCCCTCTGTGTATCTCAAGAGGGCTATTCACTTTCTACAATAACAGTTTATCATCTGAAACTTTCAATAGTAACATTCTTATTTTGTGTTTTCCTTACATGTATTTCTCTATGAGTAATGCTTACATATAAGAAATGTTATATTTCAAAGAGCCATTGTCCTGTATTACAATGGATGACAAGAAACTAAAGCATGCTTTTAAGCACCGTTTCGCCACTCTATCGACCATTCCAACTCTTCATCATAGTAGTCGATTAGACTAATGGAATCCCTTAACTTATCTTCTTCTTCTGGTCCTTCAATATTCGTAGGAATATCTTCAATGTCAATTGAAATTTCCTGGTTGGATGAATCAAGAAGGATCTCTTTCACTTCGCCTTGTCTCTTCAATAATATTTCTTGACTTTCCTCCCCAGTTTCTTTAGAATCTCTGCTCACGTTACTCACTTCTTCAACCTTCCAATCCTTACCATCAGAAACTCCCAGATGAAGAGAAATGATGTGCTTGATATTATAAAGCTCCACATTCAACTCACTCAACATCTTTTTCACTTCTTCCGTATCTTCCTTCTCTCTCTCCATTTTTCTTTCCTTCTCTTGGACATGTCTCTTCTCTTCATAAATATATCTTCCATTAAGTTGTACAGTGATGTCTCTTTCAATTACTGACCATTGGAGACCTTGTAACTAACTCAGGTACATGAGAGAGAAGAGTGGGAAAGAGCGCCAAACAACACCTTTCAACTGTAAGAGAGACGCTTGGTAGGTAAATGGTTTATGAGTCTAATTCAAGCTCCTCAAAAGCTCATGAACTAATTAACCAAATAAAATGAAACAGCATATATGATATTTTCAAGAACCATTCCATGTATTGGTTTGGAATTTGGACGCCAAAAAACTAAGAGGAATGTTAGTCTTACAAAGATGCATACAAAGAGTGGCATACAAAGATAAATCCTACCCTTGAAAGAAGGGAAAAAGAGAGAGAGAGAGAAAGACAATTATGAAGATTAAGGGTAGCATTTGTCTTTGTATACATCTTTGTAAGGTTAGCATTTCTCAAAAACTAAATCATACATAAGCATTGTTGGGTGGCCTAATGGTAATAAAACATAAAGAAGTTCTATGAATTTATGAGTTAGAATTCGAATCTCTCAAGCTTTAATAAGGTTGAAAGGGTGACTACTTAAACTCTTATCTAGTTGATAGTTCCAAGGTCTCTAAAGATTAGTTGAGGCAACTAAAAACTCCAATGAAAAAAAAAAAAAAAAAAAAAACAACGCATCACGCACCGTTGCGCCACTCAATCGACCATTCCAGCTCTTCATTGTAGTTAGTGATTAGACTAATGGAATCCCCTAACTCTTCTTCTACTCCTTCAACACCAGTTGAAACTTGGTGTTCATTATCTTCATGAGAATCAGACTTCACATCGCCTATTTTATTCAATATTTCTTGATTTTCTGTAGAATCACTGCCCACATCATCAACAGTTGTAACAATACCAGTACTCGCGTTCCATTGATTGAACTTTGTCCCCATGATCTCTCCAGTTCCATTACACACCACAGTATTCATCAACTCACTCATTCTTTTTCTTGGAATTCAAGTAGTGGTACTAGAGATAGTTATAGGGTAAATTAATGAATTGTTAAATAAAAGAATAAATGAAAGATACCTCAAGTGCATATAATAACAGAAAGGAGGGGAGGGGGGGCCTTCAGCCTTCCTTTTTACCGCCCACTCTCCCACCATACCAATAAGCTGTAAGGGAAAGAGTAATTAAGAAGGCAGCTTTGGCTTTAAGCATCTGATAAGATTAGTGATATATGCTTTTAGGAAAAGAATAGATGAGTGGGTGTGGGATGTGTGATGTGTGATGTGTCTTTGCAAAGAATAACCAAGGTATAATTGAGGAGTAAGATCAGTGGACAGCAGTTAGCATCAACTCCAACATATTCCCAAATCACTGAACTCTTCGAATATTTGACCATATATATAGTAGAAATCCGCTGAGCCAAGGTATTAAAACCCGCCCGAGGTGAAACCCGGCAAAGTGGCTGAGTCTTGGGTTAATCAATTGAACTGGTTAGACTGGCGGGTCAAACTGATGACGTCAGCATGTCCAAAGGTTTGAAATCCAATAAAAACACTCGTAACAAATTCCATAAGTCTTTACAAGTTTGAAAACCTACCAAAACACCGCTAACAAATGACACAAGTCTCTACAGGTTTAAAATCCTACAACAACACCCCAAATTACATTGTCGACGTTGACAACCCAAATCAAATAAGGCTTGTTTCCAGCATCGACAACACACTCCATCACCACAAAAACTCTCCCCTCAACCTCCAAAACCAATCTTATCCCACCCCCATTTGCCTCGCCAACAGCCTGTTGTTGCTGTTATGTGATTTTGCGATTTCTAATCGTTTCACTCACCATAAATCACCTCCATCACCACCTTTCGACTCACTAGTCCTTCCTCTTCAAAACCCCCAACATCCCAACAACCAATTGCTCATTATCACCGTCCTCTCTAGAGTTTGCCATGAACAGTCAAAATTAGTAACCCGACCTGGAAAGGCCCTGAATGAACTGGCTGGATTTCAAATCCCTAAGCTACAACTTTAGTTGTAATGCTCATTCTCAACTTCATGTAATCCCTATTTACAAATCTCTATACTCAAATTAGTAAATATAGCAAAAAATAGTGTAGAAAAAGTCTATTTTAAATTTAAAATCACTTAATCATCTTTGCCAGATAAATTTGCATAAAAAAATTATAGATGTATTATTATTATTCTCAGATTAATCACTTGGGTTACAACCTTTCACTCATAAAGATGAAATTTCATATTAAATTTGATTGATTGTTTTTCTATGATACATACTACTACATTTACTGACATAAGCTTATGTATTTAAAAAACATATACCAGTACCAAACAGAATGGTAATTATCACATAACATCTCAAACATGACTGTATTATCATTAAACAAAAAATAACATCCAACAGCTGGGAATGAAAATCCCCTGAGCTACAACTTTTGATGTCAGAATTATCAAAATTGTGATTTAAGCATTTTAATAAACAAAGCTCAATACTAAACACAATCAAAACTAGTTTAAGCTCATTCATCCTCCTGGCTGCGCAACCTAGCAAGCTNGGGAAAGAGCGCCAAACAAAACCTTTCAACTGTAAGAGAGACGCTTGGTAGGTAAATGGTTTATGAGTCTAATTCAAGCTCCTCAAAAGCTCATGAACTAATTAACCAAATAAAATGAAACAGCATATATGATATTTTCAAGAACCATTCCCTGTATTGGTTTGGAATTTGGACGCCAAAAAACTAAGAGGAATGTTAGTCTTACAAAGATGCATACAAAGAGTGGCATACAAAGATAAATCCTACCCTTGAAAGAAGGGAAAAAGAGAGAGAGAGAGAAAGACAATTATGAAGATTAAGGGTAGCATTTGTCTTTGTATACATCTTTGTAAGGTTAGCATTTCTCAAAAACTAAATCATACATAAGCATTGTTGGGTGGCCTAATGGTAATAAAACATAAAGAAGTTCTATGAATTTATGAGTTAGAATTCGAATCTCTCAAGCTTTAATAAGGTTGAAAGGGTGACTACTTAAACTCTTATCTAGTTGATAGTTCCAAGGTCTCTAAAGATTAGTTGAGGCAACTAAAAACTCCAATGAAAAAAAAAAAAAAAAAAAAAACAACGCATCACGCACCGTTGCGCCACTCAATCGACCATTCCAGCTCTTCATTGTAGTTAGTGATTAGACTAATGGAATCCCCTAACTCTTCTTCTACTCCTTCAACACCAGTTGAAACTTGGTGTTCATTATCTTCATGAGAATCAGACTTCACATCGCCTATTTTATTCAATATTTCTTGATTTTCTGTAGAATCACTGCCCACATCATCAACAGTTGTAACAATACCAGTACTCGCGTTCCATTGATTGAACTTTGTCCCCATGATCTCTCCAGTTCCATTACACACCACAGTATTCATCAACTCACTCATTCTTTTTCTTGGAATTCAAGTAGTGGTACTAGAGATAGTTATAGGGTAAATTAATGAATTGTTAAATAAAAGAATAAATGAAAGATACCTCAAGTGCATATAATAACAGAAAGGAGGGGAGGGGGGGCCTTCAGCCTTCCTTTTTACCGCCCACTCTCCCACCAGACCAATAAACTGTAAGGGAAAGAGTAATTAAGAAGGCAGCTTTGGCTTTAAGCATCTGATAAGATTAGTGATATATGCTTTTAGGAAAAGAATAGATGAGTGGGTGTGGGATGTGTGATGTGTGATGTGTCTTTGCAAAGAATAACCAAGGTATAATTGAGGAGTAAGATCAGTGGACAGCAGTTAGCATCAACTCCAACATATTCCCAAATCACTGAACTCTTCGAATATTTGACCATATATATAGTAGAAATCCGCTGAGCCAAGGTATTAAAACCCGCCCGAGGTGAAACCCGGCAAAGTGGCTGAGTCTTGGGTTAATCAATTGAACTGGTTAGACTGGCGGGTCAAACTGATGACGTCAGCATGTCCAAAGGTTTGAAATCCAATAAAAACACTCGTAACAAATTCCATAAGTCTTTACAAGTTTGAAAACCTACCAAAACACCGCTAACAAATGACACAAGTCTCTACAGGTTTAAAATCCTACAACAACACCCCAAATTACATTGTCGACGTTGACAACCCAAATCAAATAAGGCTTGTTTCCAGCATCGACAACACACTCCATCACCACAAAAACTCTCCCCTCAACCTCCAAAACCAATCTTATCCCACCCCCATTTGCCTCGCCAACAGCCTGTTGTTGCTGTTATGTGATTTTGCGATTTCTAATCGTTTCACTCACCATAAATCACCTCCATCACCACCTTTCGACTCACTAGTCCTTCCTCTTCAAAACCCCCAACATCCCAACAACCAATTGCTCATTATCACCGTCCTCTCTAGAGTTTGCCATGAACAGTCAAAATTAGTAACCCGACCTGGAAAGGCCCTGAATGAACTGGCTGGATTTCAAATCCCTAAGCTACAACTTTAGTTGTAATGCTCATTCTCAACTTCATGTAATCCCTATTTACAAATCTCTATACTCAAATTAGTAAATATAGCAAAAAATAGTGTAGAAAAAGTCTATTTTAAATTTAAAATCACTTAATCATCTTTGCCAGATAAATTTGCATAAAAAAATTATAGATGTATTATTATTATTCTCAGATTAATCACTTGGGTTACAACCTTTCACTCATAAAGATGAAATTTCATATTAAATTTGATTGATTGTTTTTCTATGATACATACTACTACATTTACTGACATAAGCTTATGTATTTAAAAAACATATACCAGTACCAAACAGAATGGTAATTATCACATAACATCTCAAACATGACTGTATTATCATTAAACAAAAAATAACATCCAACAGCTGGGAATGAAAATCCCCTGAGCTACAACTTTTGATGTCAGAATTATCAAAATTGTGATTTAAGCATTTTAATAAACAAAGCTCAATACTAAACACAATCAAAACTAGTTTAAGCTCATTCATCCTCCTGGCTGCGCAACCTAGCAAGCTTGTTAGTTACAACAACATCAAGCTGAGCAGCTCGTTCCACAATCTCTTTCCTCTTCTTTGTGGAAACATCATGTGCAATCTCAGCACAGTAAGTCCTGGAAGAAAAGGAAAGAATATTAATATGAACATAAAAGCAAATTCTAAGAGGGATAAACGCAAGTTAAAAGAATCCAGTTATTGATGAATTTAGGAGTTTACCTGTTGTGCATCATCAACAGCTCGAGCTCATTGACATTGTGGACCACAAATTTCTTGAAGCCATTTGGAAGATAATGGCGAGTCTTCTTGTCTGAACCATAACCAATGTTAGGCATAAGAGTGCATCCCTTGAACTTTCTTCGCACTCGAGAATCAATACCCTTTGGTCTACGCCAGTTTTCCTGTCATATAAGGGAAAGGAAAACATAATCAAACTAAATGTCACCATCAGGATGTAAATATTAACAAAGAAATTGTAGTAGCAAATCAGAAACGAATTATACATATAAAACACTAAATTCTCTCTTGCCAACCTTCTTAAGAATTTCTTGACACTAAATTTTCAATAAAACATTTTTATTGCATTCATGACTTGAAATCCAAGAACTAGATAAGAGTGCAAAAAGATGTGAGCAGGGATAAAGTAACAGAGAGCTTGATAGATATTAAGCTAACTGTGTCGCAAAGACCTGTTCTTTTATATCTGCCCTTAAAACGAAATGTCCAGCTACAAAAGTTCTGGACATTAGATACCATGGGCAAATTTCTAAAACAGCCATCAAAAAGGAGAAAATTAAAAACTACAAAGATCAACAAAAATGCTGCAACCTCAGCCGAAAGATGGTGATTTTTAAACAATAATCACAGGTAAATCAGAAAGTATGGGTAGATTGCATCATAGATTGCAGGAAAAGAATTGAAAACTGCTGCAAAATTGATCTAAAACAAAACATTTTAAAACTTTCCATTTAAAAATAAAACCACAGTTATTTGAATAAGCAACTAAGATCAGATGGTAGTGCATGTTTTGAATTCATCATCAACTAACAGAATTTATGGATTGATATCATCACATCTTGTTGCATATTCTATAACTAAAACTTTAACTTAAGAGTTAAGAACATAAATTTATTAATACATAGATTAAAAATAGTTTTTTAAGTGCTGTGGGATCAGATAAAAGGTCGATATGTATCACCACCTTCCATTGGAAGTCAGACTGGGTGTCAAAACGAAATCATCACATCCCTACACAGCACCAAATTAAAAAAAAAAAAAAAAAAAAAAAAAAAAAAAAAAAAAAAAAAAAAAAAAAAAAAAAAACAAGGTCCACGACACATCTACTCGTACACCTAATTAAAGGATCAGATAGTCGATCGCTAACTCACCATATTACATCAAAAGACGCAAGTGAGACTGGGTGTCAATAGCTATCATCGTCACATCCATTTTAACAAACTAAAAATCAGCCAAACAAAACATACGACGGGCGTTAAGTTGAATTACAACAATACAACCAGAATCAGATAAGAATGTCAATCACCACATGCACCATTATTTTTTGATGCAAATAAGACTGGGGCGACAAAACAATCATCATATTCATTTCCTTCAAAGCTCGTAATTCAAATAAAATAAACAACGATACGCGTGTAGTTTCGACATAGCATTATTATTTTACCTTGACGGAGATCTTGCGGTCGCTTTGGGGCCTCTTGAACTTCTTGGCCTCTTCTCACTATCTTCTTCGACAGTAACGGTACCGCCATTGCTCCTCTCCAACTTACCTGCCTCTAAACAGATTCAAAAACAAAAGCAAGAGTAATCAATACAAAGAAATAAGTGAAAGTGAGAGGCAAATATAGAGAAGGTTAGAGAGGAGAGAACTCACAGCGAGTTCGGCTAGGGTTTTCTGTTTAGCCGCCGAGTTTACGAGGGTTTGCTGGAGCTTTATATAGAGAAGAGTGGATATGTAGGGTTTCATTTGCGATCAATGTTTTAAAATAGAGAACTCAGTTTGAGTAGGACAAATCGACGGTGGAGATTAAGTGTTTGGGTGACGAAAGGTCAGGTTATTGTCAATTGGGCTAATTTTATTTTGAAGAATCCTTTTGGACTTTGGACTAGACCAGTGTCTCTAAATGGGCCTAAGCGAGCCCATATTTAGTTATTGGGATTCAATTTAGATGGCTTAAGATTAGAGTTTATATTTTCAGGAGTCTGAGTCCAATGAGAGTAAAAAAATTTAGAAAATTACTGAATTGAATTAACTATAACTTTTTATTAGAGACAAAATTCTCTTCACAACGCTCTAAATTTTCAGGTTACCTCTCCCCTTCTAGCCGGATGGCAAACCTTTTAGCCAAATAACGCGTCTCGTAGACAATGTCTCATTGTACGACAAGGTCCGGACGCGATAGGGCTCTCACCCTCTCCAGTAGGGGTGTTCAATTTCGAGTACCTTACATTTTTTGAAGGAACAATAATCGACGATTCCTTAAAATTTGAAACCGGAATCGATAGTTTTGGCTCTTGGATACCCAGAACTGAAACCTATAACAACGGTTTCGGTTACCCTGTAAAATTACAATCCCTCAAAAGTTTTAAAAATAGCAAAAAAAACCCTTAAAACTTACAAATCCCCCCCCCCCGTTAACAAAAATAAAATTACAAATTACAAATTCAAAATTACAAACTTCATTCCTTTGTAAACGTAGATTCTCAAAAGTTAAACCAACTTACTTTAAATGTTATGAAATATAAATATAAATGTATTCACGTTACATTTTCTACAAAAGTTTTTATTAAACCCCCAACTATTCAATTTTATTTTATATTAGTCTCGGTTCCTGGTTCTGGTTCCAGTTCCTAACTGTAGGTACCAAAACCAAAACCGCAAAGTAACAATTCCAAAAATTTGGAACCGAAACCTACCCTTTGACGGCCGGTTCCAGGTAGGAATCGACACCAAACCCTAGGTATCCGTCAATTTCGGTTCTAATTGGTTCTTTTGAACACCCCTAATCTCTAGCACTCCTTTCCAAGGCACTTGGACTCTATCCGTCGCTAAAGATGCTTCTCCAAACTACAATTCAGACGTCGAGAACACTCAATTTTCAAGCTAGACTCTTCTCGATTCGCTCACTATTACTAAGGGAATCCTAATAAGTTTCTTACTTTCTTTTCCTCCACTTATTGATATGCTTATAAAATCCCGCTTGACCTAGGGCCGCGATGTGAACACGCTTTCGCCTTCGAGTCATGGACCCAACAATTATCAGGTTTACCCAAAAAAATAAAAAAAATAAAAAAAAAAGGTTAAAGTTTTAACTTCTATATACATAACATATATCCCCAGAAAATTCAGCAAAACTCAGAAATCATAAAAAGAATTAGTACAATGCAACCATGAGAAAAGGTAACAAAATAAACTCGTAGACACTAATATTGGATCTTTGTCTTTGTTACATTTATTCCGTGATCTCCATCACACAAACTTTATCAAGAGAAGAGGAATTTAAGCAACCGTAAATTGAACTCTGAAGCTCGTATGAGTTCGGAGTGGAGGGAATAACATCGATCCACTCTTTATCAACCTTCTCAACATGAGAATTTGGTTTCAGTATCGCATAGAACTGAAGTTTATTGGTCTGTTTAACTAATTTCTTCAGAAAGTTCGTTGAGAATATCAAGTTAAAACTCTCCTCGATATGCTTTGAATCTTCGGATATTCGGATGCCAATATCTGCTTTGCATGAATTAACAAACCCAAGAAACATTGAATTTCCACCAATATATCTTCCGCTGGTGCTGCATATCTGCAAGAGGGTAAAGTCAGAAGCAACAAGTTTGCAAGAAATCGTAACAAAATTGTGCTGATCACTTCAGCAGAACAGACAGGATTCTGAAGTAATGAACAATTATACCTCAACATACTCCACACCAAGTTCATTAAGATTCTCCGCAATGTCGTTTGATGAAAGCAAACTAATGAGTCCTCCAGAGCCAACCGGCAATTGAAGTATTTCCCAGGGTGATTTCATCAAAATCTTATGCTTGTTTTGTTCTTCATTAGAACTGCTAACAACCGGCAGGTTCTCTTCTTCCAAAAACCAGACCTGTAAGAAGGTTGATAGGTTAAAGAACAAGCATGAAGCCCAGACAAACTTTCCGAGATCCAAAAAATGCTTTATGTCATCTTTAATTGGTATGTGACAGACGCAATATCCCACAGATGAGAAGATGGAGAAAAGTAAAAAGAAAATTAGTCATTATCCAAGAAATGTCAAGATTATAAGAGAAAATTTCTTCAAATGATTTTTTAACATTGCAAACCTTTTTGGAGTCAAAAGAAAAGTAATCATTATCCAAGAAAATCTTTTCCAGCATTTTGATTTCATGCGATGGACAAATCAAAACCAGTGGCACAGATGCACGATCTTCCATCTGCAATTAACACAAAGCCCATGTCATTAAACGTCCTGACTAAAGGAGGCTAATCCTGAACCAATAGACCATTGGTACATAATCATGCTCAAAGCATTAGTTATTAACATTAGAGGAAGCTTCTGGATTATATATATATATATATAGCTGCCCGACAAACATTTCACTAAAACTTTTCATCTTATCTTGACAACTCTTTCCCAACAGTGGAAAAGCCACACAAGGGCAAAGGCAAAGGAAGAGAGGGGCAGTGAGCAAACCCTGTCCCTGCCATCTCTCTTAGCCATATATAGCTTGCATGAAGTGTAAACTAGAATATCAACTTTTAAATTGGTTGGCTCCACAAGAGAGAATATACAATTTAATCTAAATTTTTTTCCTTGCATGTTACTTCATGATATATTACAAAGTATGTCAAGTTTATTAATTACCAATCATAGTCTTAACAAGTGAAAGTAAAAAATATGACATTACCTTTACAAGTCTCCGATCATCAAAAAGTAATGTCTGAATAAGGGCTAAAGTCTTATTCTCCGTGCTTCCAGAGTCAACAGAATCAGGATCACTTCCCCTTCCCTGCCTCTCACTGTCATTTACAACTAAAACCATAGCAATTTTGCCTTCAGAAACAAGATTGTGTCCCTTCTCCAGCAAATTGAAATGGGCACCCACTTTCTCTTTACTTGCACCAGGACTAATGCAACCCTCTGATATCTTCAGAGTACTTCTAATTGCATTTGTTCTTGTCGCATTGATTACCTCAGTTACATTCCATCTGATTCAAGAAGATAGAGAAAAGTAAGATTCATTCTATGATACAAATACACATAATTCCTCAAAATTATAATGAAATAAGAAAGAAATGGTAACCAACTTCAGACTAGTCACAAGAGATTAGCTGCATGATCAATTAAATTGATAAAATGTATAAAGATGAACTTAAAGTTAGAAGGACCAGTGAAATTCATCAACAACATTGTGTTGGTAAATTTTATGATATCACCAGGACTATAAAAAGTTTTTACATTAGAATACGAGATCATAGAATCAGTATCTTATGGTCAACTCAGAGCCTCCAATTTCTATCAAAGCAAATATTCACTTAATATTAGAATTCACCTTTTTGAAGGTTTCTCAATATTTTGCAAAGCCTGTTGCAGCAATTTCGAATTGACACCAACAATCTGATCAGCAAGCAAGCTTGTATGGGACTTCTCCCCAAATCTAAAGCCATGGAAAACATGCTGCTGCTCCATCTCACAGAGTTTCTTTTTTGCAGCTATTAAGCGTTTCTGAAACTTTTTCCTTTCTTTCCATTCCTGAAATGTGTTCAGAGCAGATAGGTTTGTGTCCAAAAATAATGTTTAAAAAAAAAGACAAAAGAAATATACACATATCATTTATAATGCATAACAATAAACTGTCTTTTGATCCTCTAGAATGAGGAAGATATAGAGTAAATAAAGCAAACACTGCGAAGGAATCCTATATGATCTAGAATTATATAAGAAATTATTGTTGAAAGTGTCAATCAACTCAAATCCAAAAACGATAGGCTTCATCTTATTATTTGAACAAACAACTTCGATTTGTTCTAATCTCAATTCAAGCTTTGCTCTTACTCTTACTGTAGAAACCTATGTCCTAGTAAGAAAGAATTTGGTAAACCAATCAAATTCCACCAGCAAAATTCAAGGATTATGATCAGGCCACTATATGGAATGCTAAAGTCAGCGATGCCATGACATTCTACAGGAGTTTGTAATCATTGAAATTATGAAGTTAAAACACGACGTTGCTATTCAGCAAATTAATGACACGGAAAGGAAACAACTACAAGTTAAATATTTCCTATTAAAAAAAAAAGGAAAGGTTTGGTAAAACAGCCCAATTTCACTCCCAAAAATAAAGGATTGTGATCAGAAATGGCATGCTTAATATCAATGATGCATTGATGCTGTACAATTCTATAACAGTTTGTAACCATTGATAATATGGAGTTAAAACCTGACGATACTATCAAGCACACAAATGACAACGAAAGAAGCAATTAACAAGTTTCCGTTTAACCCAATAGACATCTTCTCTGCTACCAATAGTGATAAATGAGAAGAAAAAGAACGAATAAATTCAAAGTGTCATAATATGGCTACAAAAGGTCAACTTTTGGTTTCAAAGACCGCCCCACCCATTCTACTCTTGAAGCTCAAAAAGGAGAAGTAAAAAGGTTTAACATGAAAGAACAGGTATCAATTTACATAAACATACCGAATGAATAAACATAAGAAATGGATGAAACATTGTCAACAAAACTCTAAAGTAATAAAGCAAGTAGAGTATGAAAGAGTATGCCTCACAAGCTGGCGCCTTTCTTTCTTGGACTTCTCATTAAAGCGTAAGTTTAACTCGAGAAGACCCTTCGGAGGTGTAATCTGCATTTCTCTTCTATTCATGTCAACATTTGGAACAATTTCTTCAACAAATGGAATCCACACAAGGTGACCAGATTGTTCAGTTTCTGGTGATCTTGCCTTTCCACTACCATTAAGCAGATTTACAGAGGAATGAAGCATGACATTTAAAAGATCATTGGCTCCGCTGTTGAAAACATTAACAACTGTTCCCACAAGTTCTCCAGTTTCCTGAAAGAAAGAAGCAAAACGAAAATCTCAAAAGTGCAAAGTTCGAGTTGCTAATCATAATTACCAATCTACTTCGATTAAGTTAATTCTCTCTCTTTTTCTGCTCTCTTAATATTATGAACCTATCACTATATTACCATTTATTGGCAAGCCGACAAATTAGGAAAGAGGAACCTGAGTCTCATCCCATCTCATTGATCTTTGTCAAACAAACAAAATCTAAAAGGGAACCTCAGTGTTGAAACTATAACACACAGGCATAAAAAGAGAACAAAACGAGTTATTTTAGTTAATCCAATTTACCAGTAGAATATAAAGCTATCCACAATAAGTACAAACCTTCATAATAACTTTCATGCCAACAAGATCGTGAGTATAAAATTCATCCTCCTCCAACTCTGGCCTGTCTCCTTCCCTTGCAAGTAAAGTTGAACCAACAAGTGGCTTAGCCTGAAAATGTCTTAGATAGATTAAAGCTAAATTACAAGAATATAGTAGTGCGACAAAATAACTCATGGCACTCGCAAATTTGTTATGCGATAGAAACAAGAAAGATTTCAGAAAGATTTGGCATGGTAATCAAGATACTTGGGTAGGCTTTGTTCATTTGATTTGCAATAAATAAACAGTAAACAAGAAAATAAAGATAACTCAAAATCTTGAGGCAACTTCATTTTCCAGAGAATATTGATTTGCAAGGTAATAATATCCAGAACAGGGGCAAAGCAAAATCCTTGATAAATCTTTGCATTCAATTAACACTATTGCCAATTTTTCAAATTTTTGTAGCCCTAACACATTATCATACACATATCAGCTACTCAATTTATGAAAAAAACTCTAGATGACTAAACACATCATGCTGTATACCTAAAAATTCTACAGAGCAAGATCACCATTAAAAAGGTGAGTTACAACAGTGACAAGATTGTAGCTCATAAATCATAACAATTGTAGATATTTTCATCTGAGCTCAAACTTGATAGGTTTCTCAATCTTTCTTCCTTCTCAACAAATATAAAGCTTTGTCTAGGTTAGGTATAAGAATAAGATTGCCTCATTTGATCTAATGATAAAAGAAATAATCAAGCCATGAACAAACATAAATGGTAATTCTCTTTCAAACTCACCTGCTCCACTGTGTCAATCCCTTCAAATAGAAGTATCCAACTCTTCCGTCCATGGTGTTCTCTTCCCTCAATTAGCTCCACTTCTTGAATTGTCTCTCTTCCCAAAACTTGTTGCCTCAACCACCTTCTCCCAGGCTGGAAAAACACCATTTCAGCATGAGAAACAAAGATAGTCAAGGAAAATAACCCAGATGGCAATGTTAAAATGTCAATTTTAGGAATTTTTTCCAATCATGTCATACCTGGGAAAATCGCAATTCAGGAAAGCCAGTGTTGGGTTTTACACAGATCTCCCCTTGAAGCCCATGAACACCGGACAAGTACCCAACCTCAACAAATTCTGATTCACTCTTACTAGTCTCAACAATCTCTTGAGTAGCTGAAGTTGCATTACCAAACAATCACACAAAGACTTCAACAAGCAGAAAGAATTTAAAAATCTTCACATCCTTTAACATCTCATGCAAAAATTTTCAGTTCAACAGTTTCACCACAGAATTTCACTAACTCTATAGATGCTATGTCATCAACCCACGGAATGATAAAATCACATAGCACATGCACCAAAAAGTCAGTACAAACGCACACACATTTTCACAAAATTTCATTATACTCCCATACAACACCACCGTTCCAAACAAACTTTTAGTAGCTGAAACAAAAATAAATTAAAAAAACAATAATTCCACACAATCAAATTATATATTTCAGTTTAGTTGCACCTATTTCTACTCTTTCATGACTTCTAGAGCATCTTATGCTATATCATTAACAATTACACTAACATTACAACAAAACTCCAACCATCCTAACTTAACAAGAAGAAACGCCATGAAACATAGCAAAAGTCCAATTCTGTTCACGCACTAATTTTAACAATCTTCAGCAATAATCAAAGCAGTTATAACCGTATTTTACAGGTCCTAAGCTAGAATCTAGATTACAAGTTAATTGCAGAGAAGAAATGTTAAGTTTCAGCTAATTAATTATAAAGAAAGACAAAAAGAGTTACCAGAGGAATGCAGAGGAGAGACGGTATGTCGGTAATTTCGGAGACGCAACGAAGCTGGAAAGGAGAGAGAGAATCGATTTCGAAGCTGAGGAGGAGGAAACGGATGAAAAGTCGGTAATATAAAAATTGGATTTGAAGAGCAAACGAGTGAAGTTCTCTGCATCGTCTTGCTTCTTCAGTTCAGCGTACTACACTTCAGTTGGTTATCGCTTGAGATTAGTCCGGTTTGAACTTGGTTGAGAAGAGGTACAACATTTTGAAGCACAAGGTACAATTGATTTAGATATTTTTCTTTTTAAAAAAAATAAATAAATAAATTTGTGATGTGGGATAATCAGTTAATCACTCCAAATCAATGTTTTAAAACCCAACCCGCGGTGAAACCCTTTAAAACCCAACCCGCGGTGAAACCCAGTAAAGTTTTCGGTCCCAGGTGGACCAGTTGATAAAAACTTTTAAAATTCAGTAAACACACCCCTAAAAATTATTGTAAGTCCTTATAGGTTTGAACTTATCAAACATACCCCAAATGTAAATCGATCGGCGACTGATTGACAGCGACGACACCCTAAATGCAACCCCAATCGTCCCTTAAGCCCATTTCTATTAAAATCTACTCAAGATATGGCCGAAATAGGTTCGATTTCAGCCAGATCTCATCGATGCGGGCGTCGAAAACCCTTCCCATCACCTAGGAATTACCCCTCTCTTCCTCCCGACCAAAACCCATCTCACCCCACTCCCGTTAGCCTGGCCAATCGCCAACAAAATCTCATTGTTGCTGCTGTCAGATTTGTTCGATTTCTGGTCGATTTACTCGCCAGAAATCAACATCGTCACCACCATTGCATTCATCGGCACTTACTCTTCAAAAGCCCCAACCTTCTGGCCGTCGATTGTTCGTCGATCATCCTCCCAAATCTTAGGGTTTTGGGTGAATTGAAAAAGTTAAACCCGGCCCGTTGAAGCTTCTAGGTCCCAGTTCAACCGACCGGGCCGGACCAGGTTTTAAAACACTGCTCCAAATTGGAAATATCTGTAAAATCCACATGATTAATAAGAATTTTTATATATAGTGTATTTCTTTTAATAGATTTATTACAATATCAACCTATGAAGTTTGATTTATTGAGCCAAAATAATGTTTTGATTACAAATATGAGTGCTTTGTTAACGTACAGTGATATTTAATTTATTTAAAATAATTTATAAATATTAATAATATAACCATTTTATATTCTATTCAAGAGCTCAGTGATTCTTACCTAATAGCATTACAGGATCCACACCATATCATAGCCCTTATTCTACAATTTTTTTATCATAGAAATAATAATGAAACAAGTATAGTTAAACAACTTAATCGAGGGGTATGCAAATTTTTAGGATAGAACCAAAACTGACGGGTATTTGAGGTGTCGGTTTTAGTTCCAAATTTGATGGAAATAGCACTGTGCGTGTCCGGGTCCGTTCCACCACTTCAGGAACTGGAATCAGATCAAGTTCCGCTTTTGGCTCCTAAATCTTGGGAGCTATTGTGTTCGAGTTCGGTTCTAAGGGATTGGATCAGGCAGCTGGACCCGCTCACCCTTAAAACTATTCCAAAATTGTCGAAGCGCTTAACTTGGTGATATGATTTTTGGGTTGGGCCCAAAAGAATTTGATACCAGACAACCTACAAAATGAATTGCTATGTAAAATGTAGGGACCTAAAAACCTCGGGCCGAATCTGGGCTAGGCCAAGTTTTTTGTTTTTAAAATGCAAGGTGGAGCCCGATAAAAAGCCCGGGTTTTACAAACTATGAAATAAGAAATGGTATTTTGGATTGAATTGTTGTAAACCAAACTTACCAATTTGTCAAGCCTTTAACAAGTTGGATGAGTTGAGTTTTGGTTGCACGTAAGTCCTAGCCCACAATACATGTAATTACTTTAATCAGTACAATATAAATCATTCATTATTGTGATTGTCTCATTCAATATTTGTTTATATAATGATTCCAATCATCCACTTTATGAAAATTCAAATCAAATTATATGAAATATTTCACTAAAATAACAAAATATTATTAAAAAAATTACCTTAGTATATCTACTCGTTTAAGAGAGAATCTATCAAGCCGTACCCCAAATTAATGCATTTATGTCACCTATCAATTCTCTCTCGTTTATCTTGTTGGATATGGTGTATATTTCTCTTAACCTTGACGAAACGTCAGTTGTCTGTCTACAGCGACCCATTTAGAGGTCCCAATATAAGTCTAATGTCTAATTGGGTTTAGAATTAATTTATTAATATTTGGACATAGGTCGGGTTAGATTTGAGTAAACCCAAATGGGGTAAGGTCTTTTATTATATATCTTCTGTAATAGTGAAAAACCTAAGGTGTAAAAGAATAAAGAGTAAGAGTGAGCTATTGTGATTATTTCTTGTAATTGCTGCAGAGTTCTGATACTTCATAAAATTCTATTAATTTGTTGTGCGGACTGGTCGTGTTGATAGTAATGTTGGAGTCAATAAAGATAATAATAAGCATATAAGAAATACAAGTTGTTTGGTCTCTATTTCTTAAGCCTTATAATGCATGATGAGAGTTAGAAAAAATGGGGGATAAAAAGGAGGGGTGTGAGCCAAGGGTTAATGAGGCCAACCAAATTCCAAATTGATGTTGAAAGATGTGCAAAGATTAAAGATAGAGACCCACCTCCCATGTTCACCAATTTATTCAAACAAGTAAAGTTTTGATGTTAACATCTCCTAATTAAACTTAGGTTTGATACATTGCATGAAAATAATACGGTGGGATCTTCTTTTGTTTTAGTATATAAAAAGCGAGTTAGACTGATAAGACTTTAGTCATCTGGGTGGGTTATTAAGAAGTCTTTGGTTCAAGTCCCATAAAGTAGTTATCTACCACATTTTATCCATTGAACAACATCTGTCTACATTTACCCATTGGGCTTGAACCACATTTGTCTGGATTTACCCATTGGGCTTGTAAGATATTTAATACTAGCTCGGGAGTAATACTACATGTACAAGCAACTTTTATAAAGATTTATGTACAAACTGATGTGACAGAAAATGAATGGAAGAGTTGGTACAAAAAGTCAAACTCATCATATTCACTTTTCCATTCATTTTCTACCACATCAGTTTGTACACAAATCTTTGTAAAATTTGTTTGTACATTTAGCATTATTGCTAGCTTGGACACCCCAGTTATTATTGGATTATAAATAAGATGTTTTTATAAATGAATTTTGTTGATTTTTTTTTTTTTTTTTTTTTGTTTTTCATTATGAATTGATGAGTTTGATGAAGTTTATAAGTTTGGTTTCCACATTTAATTATTATTAACTCGATCAAAATACAAATTAGATGTAGGATTAATTACTAATCCTAATTAATTTCAAGATATTGTTCCATTTGCTTGTCCTTATGTCATTCTTAATTGGCACTAAAGAGTTTGAATCAAGAGAAATTTAAGGAAAATTAAAGCCCACTTTTTTCAAAATACCCTTTTAAGGGAAGATTTGATGAATAAACGCTCCTTGTTCCTCTCTTAAATGCTTGATTTTATAAGGAAAGTTTCACATTGTGTTGAATGTTTTTGTTTTCAAAAACAAAATCGAAAATACAAATAAAAAGTTAAAAATTTCATAACGTGTTTATTATCAATTTAAAGAAATGTTTAAAAATGTAAATAAAACAACATTTAATATCGTTTTTTATGATTAAATATAAAATATTTTTATAAATTTGAAAAT